CACGCTTGGGATGTGTGTCTCTGCTGCTATGGGCTTGGAACGAACTAAAAAAAGAAGGGCCCACAACAGGCATCCAAATGCCCCCTAACTGATCCAATTATTGGAAATAAAGTTATTACAGCTTCACTTCTTCCTAATTCAAAGAATCCACAGTAAGATTCCAAAGAAGTGGGTGAAATGGATCCTCAGAGGTAAATATATAGGGAAAAAAACCACATATACGAGTAGGTTTGTCTCATATAAAAAATGCTTCTAATATTTTTAAGTTACAAAAAATATTAGCCTCCCAATGAAATGGTTAGTGACAAATTATTTCATTACTCTTCTCACAAACTCCAGAGAACAGTGCCTTTTAGAAGTAGAACACCTTCATCTGTTAAAACAGGTGATTTATAGAAGTGTCTTTGAAGTAGCCTAAAATCTAACAGTGAGCACACAATACCATGTATGGAAGAGCTCAAACTAAAATTTAACAAATTTGAATAAAATAACAAAAATAAAGCAATTTGGAAAAGTGTCTCTGAAAAAAGATGGGTTACTTTCTGTTTTTTCAAGTAATTTTCAAGGTTATTTTCCCTTTTCCCCTTCCTAGACAACTCAGAGCTCCTTTTAACATTAACGTCTTAAATATTGCCAATTTATATTATTTGAAGTTTTTAGAAAAGCATGAGAGATGTTGAAGAATAAACCTTAAACCTGAAAATTAATTCAGTAGCAGGTCTAAATCTTGAAGAACAACAAGAACTTCACGTAATGTTCTAGCAAAGGTTTAGACTGAAAGTGAATGACTAGCTTTGAACTACTTGACCATACACATAAATAACCCACTTTTATCTGAAAAGCGGCAAAGCAGAAGTTAATGCAAAGAGCTGAGGTTACCAAAACTAAATTTCTCCCTCAGTGTCCTCCCCCCAGCCAAGGAAAAAAAGATTCCTTAGAACAGAAATTCCTGAGACACAATTTTCTAAAACTCAACAGGATTTTCTATACTTTCTTGGAGTAGTCAAATTCAGAATGTGAACAAAGCACAATTCCAGTTAAGTAAACAAAATAGGTTCAGAATATGGACCTCTGCTTGTTTCAAAAGTATTCAACAGCACCAAGCAGTACAGGAAACGTGACTACTGATGGTAATTAGGAGAGAAGAAAGTGTGCATGAAGCTTCACTACCTTTCTAAAGAAATTGTATCATCAAACTATCACAATGGACCTAAGCAGAGAATGGTTCACTTGCCATCGATTGTTGCGGAAAAAGCTAATTCTTTTCTGTATTAGCCCTCCCAAATAACTTTTTTTCCAGTTCAGATAATCTGAGTCTTGATATATAATAGCTGAATCGATCCATAGTATTACACTTCCTTTCAAAGGAGAAGATATGATCTAGTATTGATTGACAACTTGTGTCCGAAAAAGGTATACAGGCCATTGTGAGGGGGGCAATGGGAACTGAAGACCTGAGTTATGTCATGTGCCATGGATTTATTTATTTGCTCTGAGAGTATTAAACATAACAGATGTCTTAGAATGTAACTTTTGATGCCAAGTGCCTTGATCTCCAAAATCTCCAACTATGCCTTTCATTAACAGATACAGACAAATTGCAAAATTAATGAATACACAGAGACTTCCTTCACGGAAAAAGTGGGAAGAGGAGATGGACTCTTTGTCCTTCCACACAGAGGACAAGGATGAAATCAACATTTTCAAACTTTGCAAATCTCTGTCTTGATGAAAAGATCATATAATTCACTTAAGATCCAAATAGACCAAAAGGATAGAACTATAAGAACAGAGTTCTGAAAAGCACTCAGATATGAGGCAAAAGGTCTATATTATAAAATCATTCCTTATGCATATCTGACATGCATTAGGTCAGATCTGCCAGATTGTGCATTAGTGATTTTTGCACTGAGAATTCCTTTTTCAGAAAGCAAAAGCATGACAATTGGGTTCCAGAAAGATATGCCGCTTTTCAAAGAAGAAGGCACTTCTGCAAAACTCTGTGTTAGTTCCACCTCTGAAAGAGAGACTGCCTCCTCCTACTTTTAGAGACTTTGGTTGGTGGAAGCTAAGTATTTTAACAGTTTTGTTAGAATTAACGGTTTATTACAGGAAGTACTATAATTATCAAAGGGCTCCCCATTTCCCACCTGTACCAAACATGTTTATAAAAAGACCTCAGTATTAAAAAAAAAAAAGACCTTAGCATTGCCGTAGGCAAGTGTAGCAGTTGCATAATTTTTAGGAATAACGTTCCCCCTCACCCTAGATCTCTGCCTCTCCTCTGGAATAAACCATTCCACAACACTACTGGTTCCAAGCCTCAGAAACAACGTGTTATATTCAACCAAAGCCTTACTGTTAAAAAGAAAGCATCTCAAAACCTTTGATGAAGCACACTACTATAGAGATTTGATGTCTAAGAAGAGACCACTAATCTTCTATCAAAATTTGTGACTACAATTCTACTCAAAGTAATTTATCGCAGAACAATGTGTGCCTGCACAGAAAGCGTAGTAATATACATTCCCATGCCTCAATTACAAAAGCAGCAAAGGTGCTTTCATGCAGATATCAACATGTGCTAGTACCTTGATTAAGTTCTCTAGTGGGAGGCTTGTCATTATAAAGCATCACCTAGCACTATGCATTCCTGTTCTAATTAGAGGGAGTACTTGCTACAATCACACTATTTTCTTGACTTAATGTGACCTAAAGTTACAGTATATGAACTAAAATGCACAAATGCCAGGCTTTTGCATAAATACAGTAGCCAGCTTTACAAAAATGAATGACATATTTACGAGTTATTGGATATATTTCTAACAGACGTATTCCCATAGGAACAATAGAGGAAGCTTCCTTCTGCAGCCACACAAAACCAAACAGCTACAACTAGAACAATCCCAGAGTGTATCAACTTGTAGACATAGTACAAACTTACAAGCAACGGCAAGAGCATTACAGAAAAACAAGAACCATTATTTCTCCAAGGTAACTGCTTTTCAGGAAACCTGTCCCAAGACTGCTAAAAATACTTCTACTCAATACTACTCATGACTGAAACCTCAGCAGCCAAAGTGAAAAGAGCTGCTGTCTAGCATAGGGGCAACTTACCACCAGCGAATAAATGGTGATCATTTGTCCCAATATAAGGCAGCAACTCTTGCACCTGATTCATAGCAACTGCAGGAACTCAGGAAGAACCAAGACTTGCCAGAGGATGCAGATAGAAGGGAAGCATAAGGTTGGAATCCATATTTGAGAAGATGGTTATTGAGTAATGGTGAGGGGGAAAGAATACATTCTATAAACATCACTTCTTTCCCCAAAAGAAACAAATCAGAGTCTGTCCATGGCTAAGTAATTATGGTAAACAAAGTTCACAACTAATGGACAACATTTCCTGAAAGCCAGAACAAAAGAGAAAGTGTGTTTTAGTCTTGCTTTAAGTGCTTGAAGGCTGCTGTGGATCATCAAAAACAGAGTGCATTTTTCCAGATGCTTATCAGCTAAAACAAGCTGGAGATTCTACTTGAAGTGGGTGGATATAAAAGTAGTTTTTGAAGTATTATGAGACAAACCAGAAGCTCTCCGTCAATAAATTTAAAATTAGTAGAAGAGGTTTAAGCATAGTAACAAATTCCCCATTTCATTAAATTAAAACTAAAGACAGCAAAGGTGAGCACACATTTTCTCCGTATATTCACAATTTGTCCTGAAAAGACTTGATTTAGATACCATATAAGAAATACCTGAGAAGTTAAACCTTTTAGTAATTGCAACAATCACATTTACAAACATACACACACACAAGCTCTCTCTTCCTCCTTTTCCCCTCTCCCCACCGCCCCATCACCTTTAAAACCAGAAAAAAATCTTTGAATAGGGAGAAAATTTGTGCTCTCTCTGCTGGTTAAAGACGCAAACTGTATGTAAATTCAGTTGTGTCCATGCAAGTATGTCCAGAATTGACCATTTTCACCTATGAACTTCCAAAATCAGAATTTGCACCATTTTCCACTCTGAAAGATTCTTCTTGGGAGTATCTGATAAATTAGCATTACACTATAAAAGATTTTTTCTCAGAAGTTAAACACAGTGCAGAGGAAGCTTCTGAAAAACATGTTAGCCTATCACTACCTAATTTATAAAATACATCTTATCTTCAAGATTTATATGTGGGCTTTGCATCTACTTTTGAGATTTCTGAAGCCTAAGACCTTCAAAACCAGTTAACAATAGAAACAAAACAAAACAAAAAACCCCAAAGAGGATAGATTCAATGAAATCAGTTACCACACCCAGTGCAGCTACTGAAGTGTAAACATTTCAGAGGCTCATCTGGTTCTGTGCCAGAGACCACATAGATATATTGTACTTCTCTAAAGCTTGTAATGTCTACATAATAGTGAATATCCAGTTGAACAAACATTGGAGACAACATAGTAGTATATATTACTCAATTGTTACACTGCCTTTAAAAGTATAGGTGTGATTTTAATCTAACACCTCCTGCACATTAGATTCAAATGAGGATATGAACAGAAACGGGATAAAAGAGGCTTCCTGTATTTTCTTAAATTAGGCAACATAGGTGGTTAATTAATAATTCAACTACCAAAACTTATTACAAATTTTGATTTATGATACTGCTGGGATTTTAGAACCTATAAACAACACCAATTGTACTTCATTTGGTCTCAAGGTTCAAAATAAGGGTAGCTTAAAAAGAATTTTGAAACATAAGAACTTCACTTTCTATCCATTAAGACCCCAAATAAAGAATACGAGATATTAAAATACGCATATATGAGAGATTACAGTTCATTGTTGGAGGGGAATGGAGATGAATGTCGCAGAAGAACCTACACTGAGCAAACAGAATTGAACTATGTGACAATGACAGGAAGTTCTTTTATATATATATATGGGGTTTATATGCATATATATATATTTATATAATATATATAGTGTATACACACACACAATCCTTTTACCTTTATCTTGCACTTCTTTTGAAAATCGCTCCCTTTCAATAGCTGATTCACGTTCTATCCGCTCAATTTCAGCCAATGCATCCAATTCTACTTCATCATATGACGTTATAGTTCCTTGTTGCGAAACCTGTTGCTGTGTCTGTACCACAGGAGTTTGAGGTTGTTTTGCAGCAACTGAAGTGTTCTGTTGTAAAACAGGCACTTGTTGTGCCTGAAGGAAAGCTGTCTGTTCGTGCTGCGGCAAACACTGAGCAGCGTTTAGTGGGCGGTTAACATCCTGTGGAGTAACGGGTGTTTTAGAAGTCTGTCCTGGGTACTGCACATTAAAAGGAATATCACCCTCTGACACACTGCTGTTTTCCAAACCAGAAAGCATATCATCCTGCTGGTCCATATCCGAAGATCTTACACGAGAGAGTCTTAATGTAAGCTTAGTGGAGTCCTTGGAAGGAGAACTAATGATATCATACATTGCAGCTTTTTCAGTCTGGTCTTTTTCATCCTTGCCTAACTTCATTTTCTTTTGTTTCTTTTGCTTTCTTTCTGGAGAATCTAACAATATGTCTGGGGGAACATCTCTAGGTGATGAATAAGGTGGAGGCTGAGACTGTTGGATTAAAGGTTGTCTTGATCCTAGAATAATAATTCAGAAAAACTGAACAGTTATGTTGTTTCATGTTTATATAAAAACATACTAAATATAACCTACATAATTTTAATGTGTATTTCTACATATATCTGTGTTCACAAAAGGTCTAAATAAGATTGCTAGGAAGCACATCATTCCTAGATCAGATGTAAGCCAGATAGTTGTAGTGTATTTCCTAGGAATTTTAGCAGTCCATTGCAGGTAGAGAAGGGATCATTTCAGAGAAGATGGAACAAAAAAAAACCCACCACCAAACAAGAACAAATAAAAATAGTACCTGTAGGTTCAGCATATCAACTATTAGAAAATGGTTAATGAAAGCAAGTTGACTACGGAAAAAGGAAAGATCAAAAAGATTCTTAACAAGGTCCAGTGATGAAGACTTAATGATCAGTATACAGGCATTAGCCATTTCAGCCACATAATTTAAAAAAAAAAAAAAAAAAAATCAAAACATACACAACCTCCTTAACTTTGATTCTGACAGTTAATTTTCAACTTTTTCCTTTCCTTTTTTTTTTTTAAATTTTATTTTAGGTAAACTCATTCCAACCTCCCTCACTCATTACTATCTAGAAAGCACTAATTGTCTTAAGATATTTTTCTACCATTCCCTGCCTTCTGTCTCCTCCTTTTCTTTTAATAACATATGAATTTTTACTTCTACATGTACTCATTCCAGACTTTGAGTGTATCCAGAGAAATTTTTAAAAGAGGACATTTTTGATTAAAAACATTCTCCAATTAATCACATTTAAACATTTTGTTCCTCAAATTAAACCAGCTCCCCGTGAATGTTAGCTGACAAACAAAAAAGCTTTGAAAAGGGGGGGTGCGTTGTCAGAAAAAAACTTATTGGCTGGACCAACAGGGCCAGCCTGCTCTTGTTACAGCAAACGTTTATCAGATTCCATTTATCCACTGGGGAATAGTGATCTATAGAAAGCAGTGACTGAGATTATTACTAGTCATTCTGGTTCAGGTCAGTACTTCTAACAACAATCAAAAACTAATTGGAATACAGGTCCCCACGTGCTTCGTTCAAGAAACATGACTACACAAGAAAGCAGCTTTATTCTGCAGCTTAAAATTTCTACCAGGTATTTTAAGAAATATTAAGAATAATTAAGCAATGTACTGACCTGTAGGTGAAAAGAAGAATGGATGCCTCTAGGAAAGCTTCAATTCACATGAAATGTGTGCCTTTACTGATTACTTTTTTGCACAGACTGCTAAACTTATTTTCGCTCCCTACTACGTTCTATGAGAAGTCCTACAACTTCCGTATGTGGAGAGCAGGGTATGAAATGGGTTTATCTTACCCCTTCCTGACCATCAGCAACAACTCCATATTCTGCCAATAACGTCCACAATGTTGGGAAGCCCTGTTTTGACTCATCCCAATTCTCAAGACCTTTCAATACTCCACTTCCCCTCTTCAAATTATACAGCACACTCAACCACCAGTACTGAAGTCCTGGCTACACCCTATGAAGGTCTCTCACTTGCCTTTCACCACAGATTCCTATTCTCATGACGCTCCTGCCACCCATCCATTACTGTCTCTTTTGGTAATTTACAAGATTGTCTTAGTGTAATGTATAGTAAAAATCTTTAGCTACCGATTTCTTTTATGGTAATGACTACCACTCAGGAAACAGAAGCTGCATTTTTATTTCTACAAATATTAGAGGCAGCTCAAAACTTTTCAAAGAGATCTTACTGACATCTTCCTCTTGAATTATCTCTTAAATGAATACTGCTGAAGTTGTAACAATGGAATATTTACTGTTTTTCACAGTTACACTTCAGAGGACATAGATTTGATTCTCCCTTGTCCTAAACTTTTAAGTATATATGACAAGATTGTTATGATTTGGTATTAATTTGATATCTGTCTGTGCTGAAAAAGTAACACTGCAGCAAAAGACAAGGTGGTTCTTTTTATCTTTGGGTAGACTTGAGGAGGTCAGAAGGATTTCAGTGCATTCCATTGAACGTACTTAGAATCCAGTAAATGAAGAAACAAAAGTAAAGTTATTCCTCTCCTAGGCAGCACTACGAATAGGTATTTTAAAGTATCTTCCACCTGAAGGAAACTCCTGAAAGGTGTTGATAGTAAGGCCTGTAAGCTGCATTTTAAGAGTACACGTTCTGGCAATAACGTCACGTATTTCTGAGACGTCTAATGATGGTTAAGCCTCTGGCAATGAGAAGGCTTAGAAGCTACAATGCCTATATATTCAGGTGAAAAGAAACTGAAAAAGATGCAGCATTCTGGAACAGTTTCACTCTACCACAGACATTAGCAGTTTTGAACAGGTATTACATATTGAACATGTACCACATTTTGTCGTATGCTTAGACTTCAGACAAAACATCACCCATTATACAGAGAGTTGTGCCTATTACGGTTGAAGTCAGTCTGGAATATTTCCTATGGGAGAAGGGTTGAGCCATTACATGTTTGAGAACAAAGCTCTTACAAGACTTATTGATAACAGAAGAAGTGTTTTTGTGGAAAGAACACACAGACAGACAGGTATGATCTGTTTGCGGAAGCAGTCGAGATTCCAAGGTTGAGAAGGTTTGTTCTACAAAATGTTGTCAATGGAGTACATCATACGATGATCCTCAGAAATGATCTTTGGGAATGCACCAAACTTCAGAATGTTCTTTTAGAACAAAGAAATAGGTAGGCAGCTTTTGAGTCTAAATCTAGGGCTGTGCGGTGAATCAGGAGAATAAAATTTCACTTTCTGTAGTTGATCTTCCATAGTATCAGTAAAAGAACTTCATGCAATCTCTTTTTATATGGCAGGAATATGTAAAACATGTGACATAAAAGAGATTCTCCACTAATCTGGGAAGGTTATTGTATCATTACAGAACAGCAAATACTGATGATCAACCAGGTAACACCAAATGTAGCTGAGAAGCACATAGCATCAATAGGAAATAAAGCCTCTACAGAGGACAAATACGTTCATCAACAATACCTCCACAGTCTTTCATTAACAGCCATTCTGACAACCCGTGACAATCCTGGGACTGGTTCTCTACATGAATTAGTTTTCCTACTGATTCCTAGTGTAGATGGCACTGAGTATGGAAGAAGTTTTATCAACTGCTGTAGCAATTTGTAAACACCTTTTTTCTGTGACTCGACTGATTTCTTATTAAATTGTTTATAATGCAAGCAACTACAAAATGCATTGTGTTAACAATGACTTAGCCTTCTTAAAAATGTAAAGTTTCAAGATCACTTCTTGTTGTTTACCCCTGGAACGGCTTCACTTGCTCACTGTGCATCAGTAACTTGGGTAGCAAACGTGTAAGCTTCTGTCCGGGAGACTGCACACATCACTGACATCTCCATCTTATGGTTTTTGTCTGCACATTTTCTAAGCACACTGCGGTACTCGCATCTTATTTAAGCACTTGTGATACTTTCTCTGATCATCTCTGAGCCTCTTCAGAGAAAAGACCACTCGCCTTTCAAAGCTGATGCACCAAAGTCGCAACACTGATCACATTCTTTGTTGTGATCCACATGGATAAAAAACAATTATTTACATTACCAGGAACTTAGGATTCACATATTTTACGGCATTTTGAAGAATTAGCCTTCCACTTGCATAACAACAACTTCCAAAGAGTCACTGAAAACAGTATCTTCATATTCCCTTAAGTCCCTTGCAGGCAAAGGTTCTCAGATGTTGACAGAAAGTCTTTCACCCATCCTATATCCTCTTTTGTCCAAACTATCGTTCCCTATGCACAAAAGCTGGAAAAAACTGCTAGTGAACAAATGAAGGCTAATGTCTAATACTTGGTTCATAGCTCATTGGAGAGAAACTTCAGAAACATTCAAGTGTTACGCCTTTTTAAATCCACGGCAAAGTAATCCTCAAGACTCCAGGGACATTATTAAAGTGGGCACCAAATTGTTGTACAAACCTGGACACAGCATTCCAGACTTTTTACTGGAAAAGTCTTTGGAAAGAGAGGCTTTAAGGAATGTATATGTGCTACATGTGGATTATTAGACTTCACATCTGAGTAGTTCTACTGTAAATAAGTTCCTAAAGGCAGAAGCTGGAGGACAAAAGAACCAGAGAATCCATATTGCATTCATACTTATGTTTGTCTGTTGGAGAAGCTAAGAACCTGATGATGACAGAACCTGAGGAACACCTTACTGCCAAAATGCTTTAAGAGACTGCAGTACAATGTGTAAAAGGAAGTGTCTCACTTTTTACATTTAATTTGATCCTATTTACCACTTTCATATAAATGGAAAGTTTTCATGAAAATGGGATCAGACAAACCCACTCTGGAACTCTTGCTAAACAAATCTCAGAACTGGCAATAATCATCTTGAGAATTTGTGCCTGCAGCAGACTCAAAAAGGGAAAAACAGTCCCTTCAAAAGGATGGTAAAGGACTGTTGAGAGCATTACACATAGTCTGTATGATTTAAGTACATGCTAGAAGAACAATTTCACCATAAGAATTGAGAAAATAATAAGGAGGTAGTAATCCAAAATGAATTTGTTAAGAATAAGTATCATCAAATTAAAAAATTTTATTCCGCAGAGCAGTATGTCTTGTGGATTAAAGAGAACTGAGTGTCATATCTGGACCTTAGCATAGCTTTCTAAATAGCTTCTCATAACAATTTCACTAACAAGCTGAGGAATTATGATCTAGACAAAAAATACTGTAAGATTGCAGTATACCCTATTGCAAAACTCTGTTCATAGACTTACTGATTGTTCTTGATAAAAATGGATGAAGGGAGCATAGGTGAACAAGTGCAGCTTTCCAGAGCACTGTCTCAAGAATAGTAGTTTAAAATATGTCTCATTAATAACATCTCATGTAACAGAATTGGAGAGTATTTTATTAATCTAAAGATCATAACAGCTTTTGGTGCTCAGTCTTTGAGAGACAAGTCCACAACTTTTTAAAAAAATAGAATAAAAAATTACATTTTTCCTGACTAATTTGAATAACCTCTTGAAACAAAAGAAACTCATTGAGAAGCACAAACTTTTTACTCACCTAAGAAAGAGCAGCTGTAACAACATGAGAGGAAGATAGCTACGCTCTACAGAAAGACAGTGACATGTTTTAAACAACTTGCAGTATGAATCTGTATTAGCAGACACACTCTCATATACCCATCCTTCTAAGTCTTCAAATAGAGTTGTATCTACAAATTGGGACAGTACAACATCAAGACAAATGCAGACCATTTAAAGTTCAGATAAAAACATTGAAGACAATTAGAAGCTTAAAACTGATGACTTACGTACAGATGATAGAAAGAAACCTTGCTTTTCAGTCTGTAGAAGATTTTGTCAGTGCAAGACATGGTAATGTTCTTTGATATGTAAATGACTGCTATAAAAAAAGGACGTAAATTGTTTTTCCTTGCCCACTGGAAAGTAGGCACAAAGTGTCATGCTTCACTGCAACAAAAATGATTCAGGCTAAGCATTAAGAGAAGAGCTTTCTAGCACTAAGAATCTGAACAGGTGGCATGACAAGAGTGAGCAAACTCCATTACATAGAGCATAACAGTTTAAAATTCAAACTTAAAAGGACAGTATATGAGACAGACAAAGAAGAACATACATTTGGGAGGATTTTAGGGACTGATGGTATTCATTTTCCACATACTCTTTCAATAGTTCTCAGGGAAGAGTCCCATCACTTTCTCCAGAGCTTCAAATGCCTAATGAAAAACTCAGCTTTGGCTCTTTTCGCTTAGAACTACTGTATTCAGAAGCATCCTTGCATAAAAAACCTGAGACTTGAAGAAAGAGACAAGAATGAATGTTTATTTTGGCCCTGTCAGAAAAAAAATCTTTGAATAGATTTCTTCCACGTTTCTTTTGAAGGAGAGAGGGTGAGATGATAATTTTTTTTAACAAGCACCTTTGAGAGCACTGAAGACTGTACTACAGATTTGAGAAGATTCCTCATTCTTCTTGCCACCCACTGTACATTCAGAGACTACGTGTAGAGGAACGTCTCTGGACAAGTCTTATAAATCCCTAAGAACATAAAAGTAATCTTTTCAAACTATTCAGAAAAAACTCAAAATACTCATTAACAATTTCTGGAGGGAATACAATTTATTTCTGGAAAAGAGTGCAAAATTATATAGTTTCATAAGGATTGTTGCTAGTCCTTACAGATGTTTTCCCAGGAGTTTAGGAAACTATACGGAAACAGGACTGTAAATGACATGAACTCTTCTCTTTCAAAAGCAGTGAACTAAAAACATTGTGGAAAGCTTCCCTTTGCACAGATCTTTAGAAGCTGTCTTAAAAAAAATAAAGATCTTTTCTGAGGTTCCAGAGCAGTGAGAAAGTAGAACAAATGGATAAAGGATTTTGATGAGTAACCTGTCTTGGGTAATGGAAACCACAGAATATTTTATGAGATCAACTAAAGGTAAACACTCCATCTGGATTCTTCATACATGAAGTCATAGAAATGAATTTTTCAAGAAAGTAGATATGGTAACAGATGATAACAGGAAAGCAGAGCCATGTTTGCATAGCTAAAAATATAAAATTTACATTAAAAAGAAAGGAAAAAGACCAGCCTAGAATTTGTGGATAAAGCATCAGCTGCTCTGGTACCTTTACTGGAGCAGAAGTGAAGCAAAAATTTCTGTAACAAAGAAATTTTACTCCACTGAGTAAGTGAATAACCAACCAAACTAACAAATGTAACTTCTGCCATTTCTCAAATATTTGCCTGATTTCCAAACAAAACTTCTTTCTCATTCAGATTCTGTCAATCAGACAGCTATGTTCAGTCTCCAAGTAATTGAAGACCGTGCAATCACATTCTGCAAGTCTCCAGAAGTCCTTGCCACTTCCATGTCAAAAGTACAGAAAAGCAGTCTGCACCCGCACCTTTGGCGATTGCCTCAAGTTTCTATGTTGTGTAAGAAAGCTTAGGATATTATAACATACTTCCTGAGATCTCTCTCTGAACTGATGACTTTTTGTCCTCCCAAACAAACAATTAAGTATTTTGCTAATTTTCTTTATCAAAGTTTGAGATCTGTCAACCAAACTTTCAAGGGCTAATGACAGTAGCAAAAAAAAGCTTAGCACAGATACTTGCTGTTTGTTCACCACTGGAAAATTTATCAGCACAGCTTTCATTCCAAAGCATAGGCCAAAACCTCACTGTCAGGGATCCCATGTTCTAAACAACACTGTAATTATCCACACCTCTTCCACAAATTTCTAAAATACAAGATTAGAGGAAGTAAATGTCTGGGAAGATTACTGCAGCATCAAGAACTGCTTCTCTCAATCAGCATTCACTAATCTTTTTAAGAAGGCAAAATGGTACCACCACTAGTAACTATTTCAGTTGCATGCTTTATCAGTATGAAAAGTAAAGCTAACATACAGATAAATATATCAAAAAGCTCCACTTCCCCTTTTTTAGCCCCTCTAACGCTGAAACATCTGAACTGTACAACCAGATTGTTGTCAAAAAGAAACTGAAAAGGCATCACTTCACAATGGGGATCTGAGACTGCCAACTGAAACAACAGCAGCTTTAGACAAAAAGTAATTCAAATATTCTTCTGGCTGAGATGTATTCATGTATCTGAACGGAAGAAGCTTAGATTCACAATATTGTTAAACTGATAAGCTCAACAAAGAGAAAAACCAACCACGTTCAGCCTTTGCCATTTACACAAGTCTTACAAGTCCTTTAGCTCAAGGTCTCCTGAAATACTGATGCTGCTGGCATGCTATACACTGGGAATCACAGAATGCTTTCGGTTGGAAGGGACCTTTAGAGGTCATCTAGCCCAACCCCCCTGCAGTAAGCAGGGACATCTTCAACCTGATCAGGTTGCTAAGAACCCCGTCCAGCCTGGCCTTGAATGTTTCCAGGGATGGGGCCTCCATTACCTCTCTGGGCAACCCATTCCAGTGTTGTTCCACTTGCCTCTCACTGGCTGCCTGAGCCACATTTCTTCTATCACCGTTTAACACAGTACACGCCTACAGAAGACGAACCACAGAGATCACTTAGCAGTCACAGGATCATAGGATAATTCAGTTTAGAAGGGACCTCAGGAGGTCTTTAGCCCATCCTCACGCTCAAAGCAGGGTAAGCAAGGCCACATCATGCAGGGCTTTACCCAGCCTGATCTTGAAAATCTGCAACGATAGGAAATGCAGATTCTCTGGGCAACCTTTTCCAATGCTTGACTGTCCCAATAGTGAAAAACTTTTTCCTTAGACCTAGTTAGAACCTCCCATTTCAATGTAAGTCCATTGTATCTCATCCTTCCTCCACAACACTGAAAAGCCTGACACAAGTCTTCCTGATAATCTCCTGATAGGTATGGGAAGGCTGCTTTGAGGTTCATCCCTGCTGAAGAGTCTTCTTACCCACGCTGCACAAGGCCAATACCTCCACCTTCTCTGGAATCTCCCCCCATCCCCTGTTCTCCCTCTCCACATAACCTCACCATCCAGAAGGACTGAATTTTGTTTCGGGACTAAAGAGAAGAAAGCACTGTTGCACCTTTCTATTGCCATGTAAATACATAAGGACTGAAACAGTAAATTAGCAAGAATATGCCCCAAACCCTACCTTGCTAAGTCTCATATATCTCAGTCATTGCTTCTTAGGGATAATATTAAAAACAGAATTATGCATTCCAGATTTTAGCATTAAGAATTATTTTGAGCAGATTTTTTCTGTTCCCTCTCAACTGACGGACAGTTCACCCTATTGCTTCTCCACAGCTAAGGTTTTCAGGCTTCATTTATGCTATATGTACTGAGTTCATTGAACTGCTTTTGATTTCGTGTTTATAAAATTTCATGACTGCATTTAAAACAAACTTTGCAAGTTAAAACATTTTTGAGCTGGTTAAGAGTTCAATACTCATAACGCTGCCTTTAAACCATTTCTTATGCAGAGCAACTGAAACCATTCTTATATAGAATTTAATCCTCATATTGCAAAGGATTTTAAATCCTTCTGTCCTCCATGAATTTGAGCTTTGTTTTGAAGGATGATCAGTCAATTTTTGGACCTTCAGAAATGTCTGCCAGATCAGGGCTCAAAATAATTTTGTATCAAAAACATAATTACACACTCTCTAGTACTACTGAATACAGAAGTCAGAAGAATTAACTAAATAACTCTTTAAACTCCCTGTTCTTTAAAGCTGGGAAAAAACACATTGATGTATATGACTGCTAGACTACCTTTAAGGGTTCCATCACTTCCAGCTGGAGAGCAGACTGACTGTGGTGACCTCAAGGAAAAAGATGCAGCATTCCTTATTGAAGCATCGCCATCCTAAAGTGACAACGATAAACAATTAACATTATAAACATGAACACTTCATAAAAATAAAGACAGAAATCAGTACATATACTGATAAAATTGACTGGATAGAAAAGCATACAAGAAATCCTAGAAAACTATTTATCTACATGAAAATCTTCGTAATTTAGACTGCTATTTAGACTACTATATAGGCAATATTCCAAAGCACAATCAGCCCTAAGAAGACTCCATAACCAGAACATGAGCACAAAAATAAATCTATGTACATGTCTTCTAGCTAAATAAGCACTTTTGGTTTACGCAAAGATTCCATTTAGAACTTTTTTATTACACGCACTCATAGTAATGAGATGAAAAGCAGATACATGACCTCCACACAACACCAACCGAAAAAAATTCAGCATAAAATGTAGATTTTAAAAACAAACTCACCGTTTCTTCACTTAACCTACCCTTACAGCTTATCTAGAATGCCATCTTACTTTAACAGTTAAACAAATTAACACTTTGTATTTATGTCCTCCAGCATGCATGTACCAGGACTGAAGAAAATCTCTAGTACCCCCATCGCAGCAGCTGAGACAGTCTCGTGTAAAACACAGCTGGAGTACTCTAGGTTGTTATTTGCCTATGTCAACAGTTGGATAGGAAGCAACTCAACAGCAATACGAAGCATTTCCCCAACACAGCAAACAAGTTCAATTGCCTTGCCCATTTGCACAGAAGATCCTGCTTCAATGGAATTTGTATTACACTGTGAAGAAGTTTGTCAGAAATTATGGCTTCCAGTGTAAGGATGTCCTTGCTCTATCCTGAAGAACGCAAATGTTCGAGTTTTGCCACTCCCACGAAGCCCTCTGCTGGGCACGAGGACCCTCCTTCACTTGATGCCCTACCTAGACTTACAAAATTCCACAGAACAGCATCTCCCGTTTTTAGCACCAGTTTTTATACAATATCTGCAGGAATGTTTTGAGAAAGAACAAATCAACAACCCCCATGACTATGAAGAGACGGTTTCTATAATCACAAACAAACTGCAAAAAGTCCGTTCTTTTAAAGACAAAGTCATACAACAGAAGTCACCAAAGAAGTTCTAAGGTTTATTTAATCTGTTTCCTAACTAAATTAGTTATTTCAGTAGCTAAAGTGGCTCCTGTTGAGGTATCTGAATACACACTGTTCATTCATAATAGCTTCTTTTTTTTCAAACCTGCATTATCTCTCTGATAAATACCTTTATCCTTTTGACCAACTGCAACCCAATTAATAGAATTTTAGACGGCTCTTCTGGAATTACATTTTTACATGTCTGTATGAAAAAAAAATCACCTGCCAGTAGTAAGTTAGAAAGCTAAATTGGCACTTCAACGAGATAGAAGCCTGCATAGATGGGCAAGTACACACTCCCTCTGACAACAGCCAAACAGCCTACTTCCACATTCACAGCCATAGACTAGACGGTGTGCACACTGCACCTTGTGAAG